TTGTTCTCGGGGGAATAAATATGCACATTTCCAGGAACTAGCAGTTACCCACAACACAGCCAAGCTTCAAATGGCAGGACTAGAGTCTTATTTCCTGATGTTTGAGCATATTGCCCAAGTGGATAAGAGCAACAAGACTCCATCACTGGCTTTGCAAAGTTGATGTTTTATTTTCACGAAAAACACAAGCCTGGAGATGTCATCTGCTGTTGTCTGGATGCTAAACCAACAACAGCCTTCCCTGTTGTGAACCAAGATGAGTCCATGAATGTTAAGTTACAGTGTGACGTACATCTGTCAGGCTTTTCTAATCCTAGAGTTTCACCGACTATTTTCTATCAGAAGCTAATGCTGGAGATAGGTGTAGGAGACTATTTTCATGTTAAGCCTGCATGTAAAACTCAGAGTGACCAATTATAATAAGAAATAACAATTAAAAATTGGTTTTCAGTGAGTCACACCTTCAACAGTCACCAAGGGCTAAGCGGAAAATCCCAAAATGTTGAACTAAATGATTTATTGCATTTGTACATCTGACCTGAAAACAATCACTGTAGTCACAAAAGCATGATGCAACAGGTCCAGGTCTGGTGGGTTTTCACAACAGAGGGACAGCTAAAAAATACAATTTATATTTTATGATTCAATACCCCACAGTCAATGTGCTGCCAGTCAGACCTTATCTGTCGACAACGGAGGAGGAGATCAAAACGCTGAAAACAAAGTCATGTTCTGGCTACAGGGCCTGAGCACAAAAACAGCAGCAGCCATAAAAACAGAGGTAATAGGCTACACAACGGAGACACTGTATGAATTAATAATGATTCAAATCATTCTGTTTGCCTCAGCTGCTGATAACCCTCCACGTGCTGCAGCATTTTTCTGAGGTGAAAACATCAGCCTGCATAGTTCAGATTCACAGCCAGCTTCCGGTCGGTAACAAGATGGCGCCTGTGCTTGGCTTAGCCACAGTCACCGGCCACTTTTTCAAACTTTTCTCCCTCTTTTCCACCATGCTCCTATCTGCAATCCTCTTCAGTAGTGTCCCTGTTACCATCTCCTATGATCGCCAGACTCTTTTTTTCTTCCGTTCGTTCACGATCGCCCAAGATGCACCAAGGACGTACCTCCCTGTTTGTTTATCTGAGTGGCCCACTGGCCCGGAGCCAAACGACGGTTCCAACCAGGGCTCCTCCAGCGATGTTTATCCGGTCCAGAGAAAACGTCGGAGGAAAAGAGGTGAACGAGCAGGAATTGTGGTGAGAAAAAGACTTCTAGTAAACATTGGCGTGATCTTCTAGCTTTCTTGTCCTTTGTTTGGTGACTTGAGCGCCACTTCGGCATTCCCGCCAGGATGCGTTGCAGCGCGGTTTCTCCGTCCAAGTTTTTTAAGGCCGGTTTATCCTCACTCCTCAGTGGTTTCTCCTCCTGTTCCCTCCATAAGTGGTTTTTATAAACACCGTGGATCTAACCCTGCTAATTTGCATCCTCTAACTCCAGCAGTTTCTGTAGTTTTTGATTCCTCCACCTCACTCAGCATGGCTCTATTAAATACCCGCTCTGTTAAAAATAGTCCTTCCTGCTCAAAGATTTAATTCTCTCTAAAAACCTGGATTTTCTGTTTCTGACTAAAGTTTGGCAGCAAACATCTGATCTTAGGTGTGTTCTTGCTGTGCGTTATTTCTAATTCCATGTTGTTGTTCTTTTTTAAAACACAGAAACGGTTTTGTTACCTGTTATTGATGCTACAGTTTCGCCGACGGCTGCCGGCTTCTTCAGGCTGACGCTGATGGTGGCGCGTCACTTCCTTCTCCGCTTATCTGCGGGCAGCAGAGGGCGTTGTCTGTAGCGTCAATAACAGGTAACAAAACCGTTTCTGTGTTTTAAAAAAGAACGACAACATGAAACATCTGATTATTCTGGTCTGATTGAACCATTCCCGAGTGGTTATTCTTTTCTTAGCCAGCCCCGGGGTTCTGGTCGTGGTGGAGGCCTAGCTGTTGTTTTCAGAGACCATTTTCCATGTAGTTCTGCAACCTCTGGTCACTTTGCTTCCTTTGAACTGCAGCTGATTAAAGTCGGGCATAAGGACCCGTTCTACTGTGCTGTGGTCTATCGTCCACCTGGCCCAAACAGTTCTTTCCTTCAGGAGTTTAGTGACTTTCTATCCTCCACTGTGAAGCTGTCCAGACTGGTGATTGTTGGTGATTTTAACATCCACGTTGATGATCCCACTGATCACTTTGCCATGAATTTCTCCAGCCTTATGGACTCCTTTGGCTTTACCCAGCATGTTTCTGACCCCATACACACACCAGGGGGCACACTCTATACCTTGTTTTACCCTGGGTCTGAATGCTGACAGTGTTTGTCCTGAGGATGTTTATATTTCAGATCACCATTGCATTTTTTTTAAACTTGTCAGTTTCTGCATCCCCACCTCCTGCTTGCTGCATGGTTAGTTCTCGTTTTCTTAATGAGAGCACAGCTAGCAATTTTCCTGCTACTTTTAATCCACCCTGTTCTTCTGATAACAACCCAGATTCCTTAACTTCTCAGTTTAACGAGCACTGCCTCTCCATTCTGGACAACATCTGTCCTGTCAGAACCAGATCAGTTCCTGCAGTGCATGCTAGTCCCTGGTTTAATGACAGCCTTGGCAGCCTAAAGTGCCAATGCAGAAAAATTGAGCGCTTGTGGAAGAAAACCAATCTCCACGTCCATCTGCTGCACCTAAAGGATCTTCTGACATCCTTTAACTCTGCAGTCAAAGATGCAAGGGTTTCCTATTTTTCCAACCTGATGTCCCAGAGCAAAGGGAACCCCAAGGTGCTGTTTAACACCATCGGCAGCATTGTCTCTCCTGCCTCTCCTACAGCTTTGTTGAGGGTCTGACCTCATGAGGAAATTACTATGCAGTGATTTTCTCCAAAATGACTGTGCTTAAATTGCTCTGAAAAGCAAATAATCACATCAGCGCCAAGAAACTTCATTTCCCATGATGCTTTGCACACAGAAGCATTGGGATGATGTCACCGCCTAATACCAGAAACACGTTCTGCGGGAGGCGGAAGCTCATGGACGCTTTCCCGCGAACTCAAGCTATAAATCATCAACAAAGACAAAGAAACTTCGTTCTTTTGCCCAGGATACCTGGCGGTAAGGACACGCTTGTCGAACGCTCCGACTACCTTGAGCACGCGGAAGCTCTAAGTGCCCAAGTTGAGCCACGCAACCGCTGGAAAACTAAACTACAAGCCATCAGGTCTGTTCAACCGCTCGCTGCTCTAGCTGCTGAAGGGAAGAACACAGAACCGGGCTGGAAAAATCAGCAACTCCGTCAAACTCATGGAGAACGCGAAAACAGCGGAGAAAGCCATCAAGCCGACGGACGACGCCGAAAGCTGCGGAGAAACACGGAGAACCGTCAACTCAAAGAGTGAGGGACGCCTCGCTCTTCTGGTGATCAGAAACTCATCTTTTTCTCTCTCTCCTTCTTCTCCCGTTTCCTCTATAGTCCAGAATAAGCAATAAAACCGCGCTATTACTTAAAGAGCAAGTAACGTCTAAATTAACTTTTTTTTGCTGATGAACTGTATAAATGAGTGTCTAATAGTGTTTTAAATGTGTGTATTCATTATTTTAGCATTTTGGTGCATTTTCTTAAAAAATTAAAAATTCTGCCTAAATACCACAGTATAGCTCCACCTTCAGCTTAAAACATAGAATTTGACTCATTTTGAATAAATTTTAGCCAATGGCTAAAGAGTAAGATACTACGTAATCCAGTAGAGTACTACGTAGCAGCTCTGTGTCAACGTTATAAAAGCATCGGGAGTCTCGGCCACGCCTTGTGGCGAGTTGGGAGTTGGATTTGCATGAGAGTGTAGGAGGCTAGCCGTAGTTCAGCATTAGCATATAGCATTAGCATATCCTAGTCTTTAGCATAGCTTTTAGTGTTATACATACTTATTTAGTGTTAGCTTGACTGTTGGATATTGTAGTTTAGTTACTGTTTGGCTGTTAGTGTAATTAGGAAAGTAGTTCGGGTTTAGTGCTCCATATCGTGTTAGCATGGTGAGATGGTGTAGTGTAGTATGGTTGCGGAGCTCTGTCGGGTTGCACTCCTTTCCGCTGGACTTAGAAATTAGGCGCCAGTGGTTGCGTGTCTGGAAAAGATTCAGCTCCCGCCTGGTGCTGTAGTTTGCAACCAGCATTTTACCCGCGATTCTGCACGTCTCCGTTCCAAGAGGGAGGTTGTGCCCACCGTGGCTCTTCCGCGATTTAGATACAGACCACCGACTCTGCTCCCCCACCATGACGGGCTACAGTCTGAGGTGAGTAAGCTAAATAAAAGTTTTAACATCTTCTAAAGACAATTTCCTACCTAAATGCAAAGTTTGAGAGACGTGGTTCACTCCATTTAGCTAATATCAGTCTGCACTGCCTTCGGGCTGATTTGTCAAGTTCACAAAATGTGGAACGGGATGTAAGGTTAGAATCAGCGGCGAATCGGAACATATCTCGAAGCCCTGGCCGACAAAACGGTCCACATGACTGTCAGGCTCAGAGAAAATTCGGGTTGTTTTTGTGTCAGTCGGTAATTCAGCAACAGTGACTCTAAACTGACGCAGCACTAGTTGACAGACAGCATTACAGCGTGAAATCTAGCACAGCGTGACCCGGTTCCGTGAGGAATTCTGTTCAGGAGGTCGCATTTCAGGGTCTCCACATCATATGTGACTGACTTTTACTTTATAATAACATCACACACTAGGAATGTTATAAAGCGCCTATATGGGACATTTTTTTTTTGTATTTTATCTGACTTTATAAACATAAATGTGCTTCTATTTTTTTTCAGGCTAAATCTACCCAAGACACTGGCTGTCAGACTGATTTAGTAATCTGCAAGAATGCACTTGTCCAGGCTGACGTGAAGCCTTGCCCGTAGCAAAGGTGAATTATTTTTAATAATCTTCTATGTAAACATTTTATTACCTTCTAGTTTTAATTTGTTTTACAGATTGTTACAAGTGATTTTATGCTCTTTTAAACATTTATAAATGTGCTGCTTCTTTGTTTTTATAGAGCTCACAGCCTCAGTGTCTTGTGACACAGGGACCATGACAGAAATTCATCTTCCAGAAGGTCCCAGAGCATCCACACCCCCTGAAAAGACCACGGTGTGAGGTGTCTGCTGTTGATTCCAGCTTCCACCTCAGTGACAGTGCAAGCTCAGTGAACTGTTCAAGGTAAAAAAAAATTAAAACATTTCTGAATTTTTAAGATATTAACAATTAAATAAGTATGTGATTACATCATGAAGGAGGCTACTGATTCTGGCCCTGTGACACTTGGTGGTCACCACCAGGTGGTGACGTGTGAGCTGATTCACCTGGTAAATAACTTTTAAATATTTTGTTTTTGCTATCAAAAGTAAATTAACTAATAACCTGCATTACTGCAGGACACTCAGCAAAATATGGACTCTACACCATGAGGCAGGCACACGTTAATAACTCTATAAGAGTACATAAGGTAAGCAACACCACATATTATTTTTATTACTGTACACTGTCCTGGATTTGTTTTCTTTCTGCATGATTTGTTTTCTTTCTGCATCTCATCATTAGCCTGGCTGATCACCTGATAACTCATGTTATCTGGTTATGACAGCATGAGGATGTCCTCACACACCTGTAACCTACCAGCTCATCTGGCAGAATAGAGAGAGAAGAGACAACACCACATCTCCTGTTCCTGGAAAGCCTTCAGCCATCCTTCGATGACTGAGAACCTCCATCAGCTCTGTCTCCTGTCTGCCTACAATTATTATAATAAATATTGTGTTTGACAAGTTTTTTGTGCTGCCGAATATCTCATTTTGATTCCAGTTTTGATATTTTAATGGATATTTATAAATTACATTGATTATCACATTGTTGCATGTTTAACTAGCTCTATTGTGATGAATTAAACTAGCACCTCACTGTTAAAAGCTCGTTTTAATTTCAAGCATGTTTAAGTATTTATGGACATGAACAAAAACAGGAAATATATAAATTGAGATTTATTTAATTAATATAACAAATAAGGGGGAAAGAGTCATTGAAAGGCACATTCTTCTGGAAGCTCCTGATCCCGACGACATCAGCAGGAGATCAGCTGCAGACACCAGAGGATCACCTGCAACCAAGAGCAGCTAGCATCAGTAAATAAATAATGAAATCAGGGCAGTTTTAATGGGCTGAACACATTACAGAATAATTTTCTCATGGGATATTTTCATAACTTTATGCAGCAGACTGTAGCTTGAGCCCAGATCTCCTGGAGAGCTGCTATCCAGCACGTTTCAGTGGATTTTCCTGCTTTAACAGGTTAGATAAGCTGTTAAGCAGCTCAGCTGTTTGTTGCTGATTAAAACCAGGTGTGTTGATGCAGATAAATCTCTAAAACATGCTGAATACTAGCTTTTTAGGGCCATGGAGACAAACCCTGCAGCTAATCCAATGCTATGGCTAACGGCTACTTACGTTCAGAGATGGGTCTGTTGGGTCGGTTCCAGTAATTTCAGGCAACTCACAAGCTCAAAACAATAAGGCTCATGTCCGCTTGTCTCCTCCAAATAGACTTGGTCCCTTTCTTCTCGAGTGTCTGGGTAAGGAGGGGGAGAAACGTCCTCCACTTCTAATGACTGCTCAGAGTGAAGGGAGCTAGCTTCGTCTAGTTAGCCGTCTCTTCGTCACTGCCGCGGCTCCGCCCTCTCGGTCCTCCAGGCAACGCCTACTAATGTTGCAGTTTTCAAAATTGATACGTGGGTGGGGTAAGACTCTGAGGCACACTTGACATGCACTTTAAAAAGTAGCTTCGTGTTTTCCTCTTTCGTCCCAAACACGTCCGTCGGATCATTTTGAAAGAATAAACTGCTTATTTATCATTGTTTGAATATCTTTAAATGTTTCCTACTATGGCCAAGTGGTGAAACTAAAAGATATTAACTTGTGATTAATCTTTTGTGTTGTTTCATGATCCTTTGAAATGTTTTGAGTGATTTAAGGTTAAGTTACTACTGATTCTAAGTGCTTTGGAAGTTAAAGTGCAAGTTGCCACCCACACTTTAGCCAGACAAAGGGGTCAGCCATCTTGTATACAGACTCCATTTTAGAAACACACACACACATACATACACATAAAACACCTTGAACATTATTTTGAATATACATCCTTTTATTATATCACATGGTTATTATTCATTTATGCCACTGTTTATTCATTTGACAAATTGTTCAATTAAATTTTATAAAATTCAGATTTTCGTCTCCAGTAGCTTTGTTGTGTCGAAGAGAAGTCTCTGCTCCAAGGATTCTACGAACTTCAAGAAAGACTGATAAGAGTTTTGGATTCAATTTTTCCCCGGTAGAACGGGGTGGTGCCCCGGAGATGTCTAAGAATATCTTAATTAATTAATAAATCAGTAAATATTCTCATATTTACAGAATTTATTGAAGAATCCAAAAGTAAGTTAACGCTTACTAATTGTTCGCTACCGAATAACCCCAACAGCTTCCATCCACTCTGTTGCAGACTGTGAGAACTTTCTGTCTTTCTTTGTGGACAAAGTCAATGAGGTTAGATCTAGCATCTCTCCTTCAGCCTTATCGCTGCCTCTCCCGACTCCAACCAGGCCCATCATCCTAGATAGCTTTGCTCCTGTTTATTTGCCTGAGTTAACCAAACTAGTCAACTCTATGAAGACCTCTGCAGGCCCACTCGACATCTTACCCTCATCTTTGTTTAAAAGTGCTTTTCAGTCCATCTGCCCCAATGTCCTCTCCATAATTAATGCTTCTTTGGTTTCTGGTAAGGTCCCTGCTTACTTTAAGAATGCTGTAATCCACCCGCTTCTTAAAAAACCGAGTCTTGACGCCTCTCTCCATAGCAGCTTCAAACCCATCTCTAAACTTCCGTTCATTTCCAAGATCTTGGAAAAGGTTGTGGCTAAGCAACTCACAGCTGCTCTTGATGAACATAACGTCTATGATTGCTTACAGTCAGGTTTTCGTAGAGCTCATTCTCCTGAAACAGCTCTTCTTAGGGTCTCTAATGACCTTCTACCTACCCATGGTGTCCCACAAGGTTTTGTGCTGGGACCTCTGCTCTTCCTCCTCTATCTGCTTCCTCTTCAGCACATCCTGAGCTCCTCCAAAGGAATCTCCTACCATCTTTATGCAGATTACATCCAACTGTACATCTCCTTTAAGCCCCATGAGATGTCTAAGCTGCAGTTGTTACACACCTGCTTAGACTCCATCAAAACCTGGATGGCTGGGAGCTTTCTACAGCTGAATGAAGATAAGACTGAGATCCTCATCTGTGTCCCATACAAGCTGGTTCCCAAAGTCAGAGCATCTCTTGGTCAGCTTGCTTCTCACACCAAACCTTCCATCAGGAATCTTTGCATGACCTTTGACCCAGCTCTCACCCTGGATTCTCATGTCAGTTCTCTTGTTCGCTCTTCCTTCTTCCATCTCATGAACATTGCTAAGCTGAGTCCCATTCTGTCCCACTCTGAACTTGAGACAGTTATCCACACCTTCATCTCCTCACGCTTAGACTACTGTAACTCTCTTTTCGCGTGTCTGAGCAGAACCTCCCTGAGCCGTCTACAGGTGGTTCAGAATGCCTGTGCTCGGCTTCTGATCAAGTCCTCCAAACACACCCACATCACCCCGCTTCTCCTCCAGCTTCATTGGCTGCCAGTCAACTTCAGGGTTCATTTCAAGATCCTGGTTCTGGTCTATAAAACCTTACGTGGACAAGCACCCTCTTACATTGGTGATCTTCTTAGTCCCTACACCCCCAGCAGGTCCCTAAGGTCCAGTAATCAATGCCTATTGGTTGTGCAGCGCACCAGGCTAAAGACCAAATGTGACAAATCATTTGCTGCTGTGGCCCCCAGACTCTGGACCTCTCTCCCCCTGAGCCTGAGATCAGTGAACTCAGTGGACTCCTTTAAAAGCAGATTAAAACTCACTTGTTCAAAGTGGCTTTTGTATGACCTTCTTCACCACTCTCTCTTTATTCTGTTCTCCCCACCTATTCCACCTTCCCCAGGATCCACTGATTTGCCTCTTTCCTATTCACTCTCTCTCTCTCTTTCTTAACATTTTTAATCACAATTGTCTATTTTTGCTCATTTTAAATATATTTTAACCATTTTCTAAATTATTTTTTATATTTTTACATTTTTTGTTTTTGTGAAGCGCCTCGTGATTTTTATCTTCAGAGGCGCTATAGAAAAGATCTTTTCTTCTTCTTCTTCTCATTTGAGGAGAATTAAAAGCAGATCCATGTAAAACATTTCAAATGGCCACATTAAGGGAAATCTGCTAATGTGGCAGGAAAGTCTACTGAGTCAGAATAAGGTGCTGGCTTATGAAACATTAACTGTGAGGAACACAAAGTGATCTCCATCTCTCACTAAACCGGTGCCTAATTGGATTATCATATTCTGACAAGACGGACTCATTACCTCCCAGCTGTAAACCCGCTGAGCTGACAATCATGCCCAGCACGACTCAACTCATACACAAAAGGCAGAAAGAATAAGGTGTTGAGTTTACAATGAAGTTTTTTGTATCACTACGGGCAGTTTATTATTCTTTTTATCTCATACTACAGCATGATTCATAGAGACTGAGATAACATTCAGCTTTTCTTTCTGTGGAAACAAAAAAACATTGATAAACTGATGCAAGACTGGCAGCAGGAGATGAGAAAATTGATTATCTAACAGTTTTCAACAAAAAAAAAAGGAAGAATTCCCAAATGATACCAAAATATCATCAAACTCCTCAGATTATCTACTTTTAGCCACAGCCCATTAGTGGATTATATTTATTTTGCAGTGGAAGTGAACACTTTTTATTTACCATGTTGGATAATTGGTGTCATTTCCGAATGTGTCACATTAATATAGGCTTTGGTTTTAAACATACCATGAGGATGGTCAGTGTGTCTCTTTAAACAAGGTCAGAGTTGTTTGGTCATTTTCTGCCACATGCTTATCAGAGTCATCATTACACAGCAGTTTTTTCCAGTTAGGATGAGACCTTCGCAACAGTGACCCCCAATTTACACCGGGTGCATCAGCGGTGCGTTACGGCAGCAGCACAGTTTACACACAAGCTCCAAAGCTTGTCAGTTCTCACCGGGTGCATTAGTGATGCGTTACGGCAACAGTGCAGTTTACAAAGCAGCTCCACAGCATGCCAATTCACACCGGGTGCATTAGTGGTTCATTACGGCAACAGTGCAGTTTACACACAAGCTCCACAGCAGGTCAATTCACAGCGGGAGCATGTCAGATATGGAGTGTGTCTGGATCCACGGGTAGGATGCTTATGAGTACGGGTCCTCACCGGTCTAGCAAGGCCGGGTCCTTGCTAGACCGCTAAGACTGGAACGGAGCTGCTCTGAATTCTGACAGTCTAGCCTTCACCTCTACGGTGGCCCGTAGGTCCCGTCACAGCCGTGGCGGCAGCTACATGCAAAGAAAAAATGCTAAAGCTAGTGAAAATTGAGCAGGAATATTAAGGAGCTATACAGCAGCAGTAATTTTGTTTATTGTAGAAGCTTTCAGGACTTACATGTTAATTTCAGATGGTTTCATGCAGGGCAGTTGCTAGCTATTTTGGTGCCCTAAGCACAAGGGCTTCGTGCCCCCCCCCCCCCCCCCCCCCCCGCAGAGAAAACAACACAATAACACAGTATGTGCATGCGCTTCGCCTTAAATTCTCTTTAATTCTCTTGTATGCACAAACTGCTTATTTCAAAAAAGTAGGATTGATATTTACATAATATAACATACTCAACACAGGAACTCCATGTTATTAGTTAGAACTATGTAACAGATCCACACACCACAAGCACCGGTTGTGGCACATGTGTTTCTCCAATGATAACCCTTCTCCTCCTTGAATGTACTTGTCCATTGAGCCTGCATTCAAACACAAAAAGATAATTTGTCATATTTAATAAGAGAAACGTTTTAAACCATGGTAAAAAATACTTATATTGGCTTATAAATCGCTGGCATGTGACATGACTAAATTCAAAACTATTTAACCTTTATTAAGAACTAGAGAGGCACAATATACACATTTTATACACAACTAGAAAATTCTGAATATGAAGGGAGGAGGTTAGCATAATGGACTTTTGTCTTCAAATTATACCATCAGCAGCTGATGTTCCCCTTGGCCAGTAAATGTTTATGAAATATATATCAACATAGAGCAAATACCTAATTTGAAAATAGGTTTATCTAATTTTTCATAGTAAATCTCAGTTGCATAGCCTATAGGCCACATAGGCTATTTAACAATTATATAAATCATGTCCATAGTTAACTCATAATTAATCACAAACAGCCGCTTATTTAAAAATAATATTTCTTACTTTACCTTGACGGTGTTTTTGTCCGTCCTGTTTGTGATATTTATCTAAGTATTTGGGTGGAAAAATATGATTCACACAGATGGGCCTATCTGACCTCACAGAGGAAACTTTATTTTACTTGAGAAAGATGTTTTAAGATGAACTTATTAAAACAAAAAAATCTTCAAACTCTTCAAGGTCTATTTTTTAGATGAACAACCTTTAACACTGTTCTGACTTATTTTTTGATACAAGTCGCATGAACAGGCTGAATAAAAGGATATTTTCCTTTGTTGCTGGTGCCTATCTCCAGCAGTCAACGGGAAATCAGGCGGGGTACACCCTGGACAGAGAGCCAGTCCATCGCAGGGCAACACAGAGACACACAGGACAAACAATCATGCACACACACACCTAAGGA